AGAGCAAAGCTGGGGTTTCCATCTGCACTTTCCAAGAAGAACAGAATAACAAATGTGAGCTGTATAATGGTCCTTTGCAGATGGCAGGTTGAGGGTCTGATAACAACTTTTTAAAGAAATTTTAAAGTTTCAAGAAGCCACCTGCTCTAAACTGATGCAGCTCCATTGGCTTCCCGTGCTTTGCGTGGGCTCTGCGTTGTCCTTGGGTTCATAATCTGGCTGTTCCTGTTCAGGGTTGAACAAATGTTTCTAAAGCAGGTTCCCATTTGGGTGGTTGAGCAGAGTTCCCTTGGGCTCCATCAGCTGAGCACCTGGCACCACACCTGGGAGCGACCAGGTCATGGCCCTCCGTGCGTGAAGCTTGTGTGTGTCCTGCTCCTCCTCTTCTGCCATTTTTCCATTGGGAATTTGCCATTTTAGCTGAATGTGTTTTCTTTATTAATTGCTGTTTCATAGTCCCCAGAGAGTTCTGTCATTATGAGTGCACAGCAGCAGGAGTAGACAGGTGACAAGGAAGAAACTCTGCTTATGGCAGCGTCTTCAGGAGTTCAGGGAAGTCAGATCCGTGCAGGAAATACCCCACCACTTGCTAAGAGATGATCTTGGAATAGATTGTGCCACAATAAACTCAAGGATTGGGGGGATATTGGCTCCGTGTGCTGGCACTGACCTGGAAAACCAGGCTGAAATGCTCTCAGGTATCCATGTACAGGCAGGGCTGTGATAGGGCTGTGCCATGTGTGGTAGAAGACCCTATGGCAGGGTCTTGAGGGAAGTGTGTGATGGATGAAAGTCCTCTTGCCTCACAGAGAAGTTATTACCCAGTGACTCTTGGTACTTTCACACCCAGACCTAGAGCTGAGCTTTGTTTCTTGACCCCATTTGCTGAAAGATCGTTTTTGGAGATTTTCTGTGAAATGCTTGCAAGCCTCTGCCCTGAATTTTGAGTGACAAACAGAGATATGGGGGCAGTTCCAATCGTGGAAATTATTAGTTGCTGGGATGTGTTTCAAAGCTTTTGGTCTGAGAAGAGCTAACCTTTGATCTGGTAAATGAGAACTTTACCCTATGGAGGCGAGGGAAGGGGAGGAGAAGGGAGGATTGATAGATAGGGGAAGGGGAGGATGACTTGGGAAAGGTCAGTGGGACCTGAGAGCTGGGTTTGTTCTTTCCAGCTCAGGTGGAAGGAGAGACTGAGGGAAAGGGTTATACATCCTCTGTGGGGTTCAAGTCACCTTGTAGACTGTGAAATGCTTCAACTTCCATTCCTGTCCCGTTCCCTGACTGCACTGATCTGCTTTGCTGGTGCAACTGGGGAGTGGACACCAGCACTTGGCAATGGGGTGTGCAAAGTGTTGTCCCACTCAGTGTCTGCCTCTGGGCTGTGCTGACCAGCTGGGTGTTGTGTGGAGCTGTGTCTGCAGAGGTTTCGCTTCCAGGGTGGTTGGGGTTGTGATGAGGCATTTTGGGAGGCTCACTGGACCTTCTTCTCTTATTGACCCTGAGTGTAGCTGTGCTGTCGTGGAGCTCACGGAGCCCGTGAGAGTCAGAGGGCAAAGGCAGCCGAGTTCACGCTGGCCTTGGCAGGACACAACATCAAAGGTGCTTTCCCAGAGTTATTTCACCAAGACATCAGGGGAGTTTTATGAGTCTTAGCTCACCCCAAAGCTGGAATGCTGCATTTATGTCACATCGGGTTTTCCTTCTCTTTTGTCATTGCTTTCCTCCTGGCTGACCACGTAGTTTTCCTGTTACACCAAATGCTTCATTCTCTGCTGGGCCCTTCCAGAGGCTGATGGTGCCACTCACCAGCACTGCTGAGATGCCTCTTCGTGAGTGATGACCCTGTTCCCAGTCCTTCCCCACACCCCCTCCCCCTGCCTTTCACTCTGGTAAATATTTTAGTACTCGTTGAAATCAATTGAGCCTCATCAATTGGAAATAGAGTGTAAATCACTGGGACTTTTGCGTTCACCCCAGAAATCAATTTTCACACATTAGGGCTATTAGCTTATTGAGAAGTGTGTGATAAATGGCTGTGGGCCATGGTGGAGCCACACTTGCCAGCTCTACATTTTGCATCTGAGATAGGCTGGGAAGCAGGGGGATGCCAAGGGGAGGCAGATCTCGGGCGGGTGGAGCAGTGTGGGGTAGGAGACACGAGGACCATGCAGCCAGACAGTCCATGCCTGGAGATCAATAGCAGCACCAGCACTAACTCATCCTCACAGGGGCTGCAGGTGGCTCCCAGCCAAAGCTGTGGTCAGGCATCTGATTCTTTTTCTCTCGCAAAGATGAACATAATTTGAGGAGGAAAGGTGAAATGTAGATTGCAGACATTTAATAAAACTGATGCAGCAGTTTAAAAAAGATGCTCCTATGTGTGAGTAAATGTCTTTCTTTCACACAGCAGCTGCAGGTAGGGGGTAGAATTACCTCTCCTTCTGCCACCCCAGCGCTCGGGGTAAGGAGGATGCACAGCTTACCACCAGCTATGATCCAGGGATAACTGGGATTTCCACTCTCACTTTTTAATTCCTTCCTATCCCCTTAACTTTCTAGTAGTGGCAGCTAATTAGCTTCTTCTGAATAAGTCTGGGAGAGGTGAGGGATGAAGTGTCCAGTGCCCAGCAAGTCCTTCTGTGGCCATCTGGAAGACCTTGGTCTGTGTTTCCAGGATAGGATATAACTCATTCTTCTCAGTTACTAGTGCCAGCGAAAAACATGGGTGACTCCAAGGACTTGGAGGCTCTCCAGTGCTGTACTCTGTGTTTATGTGCTGTGTAGTTTGGCATTTTACACATATGAGCCACCCCTGGAGCTGTGGCAGTCATGCATAAGTAGGGCAATCTCTTTGGCTAGAGATCTTATCTCCTCCCTGTCCTCACAGAAACCTCTCCTAAAAAAGCATATGTTTCCCAGTGTTGGATATTGGTCTGTACAACAGGAGAAAAGGGAACACCAGGTCACCAGAGAGACGGTGCAATGTCAGTAGCAGTTGATTTTCCTGCTGTGCAGGGAACACTGGGCTCATACACCCCTGTCGTTCTAGGAATTAACAGCAGAGTTACTTTAAGAGACATAGAAGATCTGTGTCATCAAAGGTTGTTTCTTAGGATGAGCAATGTGGGCTTAGAGGCAAAGCTCCTTCCTGTGAGCATTGGGAGGAGGCTGACTCAGGTGCTCCTTGCTCGGCCCGTTTTGATGAGGAAGCCCAGGCCAGAGGTGCAGTAGAAGTTTCCTTGCTCAGACACTACAGATGTGTGCTGTGGGCTGGTTGGTTTTGTGAAAGTGCTGTTGGATGGACTTGATCAGGAGCATCCCAAGAGCGAGAGGCAGCAGAGAGAACAAAGACGTCCAGTAGGAAGTTCTTGGCTAAGACTTACAGGTGGCTTTGACCTGCCCATGAGATCCACTGTTTTGATGCTGATGCCTCATCGCCCCATGTGCCTCTTTCCTTCTCACTTGGTTGCTTTGAAAGACCAAACTGAGAGTCCTGATTCATTTTTGGATATCCTTGCAGGGCAGCTGGAAGCAGGAAGCAGTGACCTGCTCCCCCAGGAGTGCCCGCGTGGTTTGGCAGCTCCCGCGCCGGGAGACAGCTGCTTTTAAAGGGTTCACACCTAAAAGCTCCTGTGCTTCATTCAGCCGCATTTCTGGAACATTTTCCAGCCTCTCCATCCAAAATATTGTCTTTCTTCTTCCTCACAAGTTTCATATCAAGCAGCACACCCCATGCTGCTCAGACCTGTTGGTGAAGTGATTCCCAGGATGTGGGTTTGAGGCCGGCCGGCTGCGATCGAGACTCCCGGGCAGGGGCTGCAAATGCTTCTCTGACAGTCCTGGGCTCTCACCCTCAGCTAATTACTTTGATCCTTTACACTTTGTAAAAATTCTTACAACACAAAATAAGTCCCCCCTGGCTTTAACCTTGTGACCTGACTGGCCCTTGTAAAAGGGAGGGAGAAAACACCCAGTGGTGCACACCCAGACACTCGCACACTCCCGCATGTGCCTGGATCCACATCCCCACAAACTGCCTAAAGCCTGGGGCTTTATTAGTTTCCTCCCAGGACTCCCACAAAAAGGCAAATAAAACTCCTTTTACAAGATAGCAGAGCAGCATGAAGGATCAACTTCACCAACAACAAGTTCTTTCTTCAGTTCATTTGTTTTAAACCTACTTTTCGTCCAGGTTTTGATCCTCTCAGTGCCTCTCCCTCCTCTCCCCTTCTCTCTTACCTGCCCTGCTGCCAACAGCTTAATGGCTGAAAGAAGCAGTGTATTTTTTCAGGATCTGCTTGTTCACAGGGAGTAGCCTGTGTGTGAACACATGGTTTTAAATTCCCTTTCCACAAACAGGGAATGTTTCTCCTTTCTTCTTCACAGGACCCAGCTAAGAAAAGAAGTGCAGGGGCGAGAGGGGGAAACCCATCCTATTTATGAAGGGCAGTTAAATAGACCAGGGATCTACAGTCAGCAAGGTAGCTGAGGAGAGATGCAATACAGGTCTATAAAATCATAAGTGGTCTCTGGAAAAATAAATAGGTTGTAACTCTTTTACCTCACTTAGTACAAAAAGCAGAGCCAGTTCTTCACACAGCGTGTATGTCCCTTTCCCCAAGCTGGGGGAAGCATCACAGGGAATGGTAACTTGGGGAACAGCATAAAGAAATTTAAGTTGCTCTATGGTTTAGATTAAGGATGGGGAAACAAATTTGTATCTTGCTCCCTTACTGGCTGACCTGTGTTTATAAAACTTACAGACACTTAATAATCTCGAGAGTTTTTTTCCCCTGACATATTTAGTGAAGAATGCTCAACATTTTCTGAAGCTACCATAAACCAGAACGTAGTGCAAGCTGCACACACATCAGGATTCAGGAGCCTTGCCTCTTCAGGAAAACAGAGAAAAAAATAAAAACCTTCATTTGCCAATAAAACCCACATTTGGATGCCTTTATCATTTCCTCAGTTAAGCCAAAACCAAACTCTTTGAAAGCTTTTAGGCTTCCATTTATTTCTCCCTTCTTTCTAGTATTTTCTGTTTCCCGTGCTTGGATTAGAACTGGTAAAGGAAGGAGCTGAGGAATAAAATCCTAGATAGTCTGTTCTTCTTAATAGATCACTTGGGTATGACGGGCAAAAAAAATCTCCAGGCTCAGATGGAACCAAGGGTGTCATCTCATGTTCTGTGGGAGCCAGGAAATGGCTTCTGGAAACGTTGGAAGGGGAAAAAACCCTATTCCCTTCTGGTGAAAGGTCTGCAGTGACTCTGCTGTTCCATTTTGCTGGACATCAAGGTCTTGGATTCGAGGCTCAAGGCAGGGAGTGAAACTTCCACAGCACTGCTGCAGGATGACTGTGCAGGCAACACCTGTGCAGGAACGCGTTGTGTGTGTTCTGTAGTGAGAAAAAAACCCCTGTATCGTGAATGTGGGCAGTTTCTGCTGGTCCATCTAGCAATTCTAGCCCTGAAATAAAAGCAGAGGCTGTTTTTAGCTCCCCTCATGAAGTCCCTGTGCATCTGTTGCACCCCTGAGGGCGAGGCACAGCCAACAGTCTCTGGTTGAGATGCCATTCAACAGGTAGAGGCACAATTAGGAAGTGTGTGTGTCTGCAGCAAAGGTGGATTTTGCTGATTGCTTGGGCATGAAGGCTTTGGGATCAAAACTGTGACTGAGAGATTATGAGGGATCAAGGGGGAAACTTGGTAGGATTTTCATAGTCACCTTCCCCTATCCCTTCTTTGAAGAGGAAAGTTGTTTAGATGGGGAATTCCATGGGCTGGGATCTAACTTGTTTGTCCTTCTTTGTACAGCACCTAGCACAGGAGTGCCCTTTGCTACTTGCTTGGGAATCTTTGGGATTCCTGTACTGTGCTTTGGGAAGAAACTATTCCTGCAGCAGAAAAAGAAGGATTTTCCCCACTGCCCCTTCCCCTATGAGAGACTCTCTGTGGGTTTCCTCATTCCCTCCAGCCTCCTGAGCACGATTTTATCCCATGTCAAGGGAGACTTGAACTTCCCAGCACTGCGGTTTTCCTCTGTTTTCGTCTGGTTCAGCTTCCCACACGTGTGAGTCTGAGTGGAGCCATTTCTAGGCTCAGTCTCTGTAGGGTGCTCCCCGTGCCAGAGCTCTGACCACAGCCAAACCCTAGTCCAGGGCTCCAGGATGGGCTCTCTCCCCCCAGGTTGCCTGCTTGTACTAAATACTGGGGCAGCTCTCTAAAATACTGAAGGAACAAAGCATGCAAGGCAGTAAAATGAGGCAATTAAACCTATAAACCCAGGGTTTACAAGGGAATTTATAGTGTCAGAGGCTTTTTATAGCTTTTTTAGATTAGTTTAAATAAAAAAAAGGGGGAGAGAGAAAGAGAGAAAGAGAGAGGGAGAAAAAGAGGACCTGAAACTTGAGGAGACTTAAAAGTTCAGAGAGAGGCTTTTAGGAAGCACGGAGGGGTAATAATTAGAGGCACATTTTCCATTTCACTGTCTTTGCAAATAGAAATTAAAGGAGAAAAAAAAAAGCATGCACAGAACAACAGGCAGTTTGCTTTGCTCCCACTTCCTCCAATGGTAGCATTTGATTTTTCTGTTTCTGTCCTTTTGTTTCTCTGGCCAGGTGAGAAGCATCTCAGCACCTGGGCAAAGGGACTAAAGGGAAGGAGTGGGGAGAAATTTAGGTTTGGTTGTTTTCCCCTTCCGTTGCGCTCGCTGGTAAAGTTCAGTGTGTGCCTTGCAGATCTGGGAGCTCGTGTTCGAGAGGTGAAATGGAGCCAGCACCTGATTAGGGGCAAATTTGGTCAGGTGAGACAATAGACCCTGTGTTTTAAAGAGCTGGTTGTGTTTCACTGGTCCCTCCAGCTTCCTCTGGCATTCCACAGGCACAGCACACACACCCCCACCCCGTGAGTGAGCTTGAGATTGCCTTTGGTGTGTCTGATCAGACCCGTTGCTGGCTTTGACTGCTTCTGTGTGATCTAAGGGAAAGGTGGCTCACATGCCCCAAATCCTGCATCCTTCTCGGTGGAAGCATCTCCTTTATCCAGGCCTGGTTTCCTCCCCCTCAGTGCTTTCCAAGTGGTGTTTGTCCTTTGCTCCATTCCTACAATCACAGAACAGTTGAGGTTGGAGAGGACTGATGGAAGTTTTCTAGTCCAGTGTGCTGCTCAAAGCAGGCTCAGCCAGTTTGGGTTGCTCAGGTGTGAAGTGAAGAAGACAAGGAGTAATTTGGCCTTATCCATGTCTTTATTTTACCTTTTACCAGTGAGCCCATCTTTTCCTGGATCTTTCTCTTGCTGCTGCTGTGCCTGTGGAAGCCTTTCTTGGTGCCCCTCACGTCCCTCACCGAATTATACCCCAGGCAGGCTTTGGCTTTCCTAAATCAATCCCAGCATGTTCAGACAGTGTCTCTATGTTCCTTCTGGGTCACCTGGCCCTGCTCCTACCTTGTGTATTCTTCCTTTGAGGTGTGTCAGGAGCTCCATGTCCATCCACACAAGATTCCTGCTGCCTTTGCTTGACTTTCTGCTCGTCAGGATGGACCATTCCTCAGTTGGAAGAGGTGATCCTTTCAAATCAGCAGCACTTCTGGACCCCTCTTTTCTCCAGCTCTGTATCCTGTGCAATTCCTCTGAGTAGATCCTTGAAAAGTCTGCTGTCCTGAACTCCAAGGTTGTGATTCTGCTTTTTGTTTTGTTGTCTTCCCACAATTTTGGTCCCCTTAGAAGTGGCCCCAAAGGCTGTGCTCGGTGATGGCATGAGAACAGTCTCACCTCATACACATGGCCACTTCTTCCTTAAATAAAGGGGAACGTCTACTGGCCAATCTTGTCATCATCACGCTCTCATCTGAATTTATACCATTAGTAAGATTACCCTTTCCATGGTGTTTGCAGGATTTTGCCTGCTGCAGTGCTGCCAGGGAGCTTGGAGTGTCAAATACTTTGCTTTGTTCCTTCTCTTTACACTCTTCTCTAGCCAGTGTATGGAATAGTTTTGGATTGTGGAGGATAGGCCCTGGGTTGTTGCTAGAATATGCAATTAGTAAATTACTCATTAACCACAGCAATTCATCATCCTTCTGCTGTGCAGCTTTTCATGTAAACCTGTCTGTTCTCTCAGGCAATGTAAGAAAAGGGCCCATCCTTTGAAAAATAAACTTACAGGAAAATAGGAACCAGCAGCCTGCCCTCCAGATCAGCTTGAACACCTGAGTGGGGCACTTTTGCTATTGGAGGGGGCGACACAGAGGAGAGTTCCACCATCCTTGGGTTCTTCAGCAAAAGGGGGGGTTGCTCATGGTAATCTTTGGTTTGTCTGAATTAAATCGTTCCTTTTGTCACAATGCAAAATGCAGGGTGAAAGGCAAGCAGGGGAGACAAAACCCTAAAATGAGTATGTGTGAAAGAGAGAGAAGGTGGAGGAAGAGGAGTAAATTCAGATCTGATATGGGCACAAGCAGCTCCAAGATGTTACTCCGGCCAACTTGCAAAAGGCATGAACTATTCTGAAGTGTATTTCCACACAAGTTCCCATCTGAAAGAAGGTTAAAAATGAAGCCCAAAATTACCCATTTCTGATCCCATTTACATGGGGGTAATTATCTTCATTGGAGATGTTATCATTTTACAGTGAGATTAGAGTCAAGCCCAGCATTTTTGAAGCTGCGCTTCAGTTTTTGAAGTCTGCAAATGTGTGTTATTGCAGTCACATGATAAATAGTTCTGCAATCAATAGAGAAAGCTATTAAAAATGTGGGTTTGTCTCTGTCTAGTATGGTACATTAAGACACACGTATCATTCTACACTCTCTTTCCCTCTTTATCCTTATGCACATGTAGGGGCGGAAATTTTAAAGTACTCAACGTTGGACAAACTGTCCCTGATGGAAAATATAACATTGACCTCAAATAGCATCCCATTTTAGGTCAGTGATGAGTGATTTTAAAAATGCTACCGTTAAGTATATATTTAAAGAGAATCACTGGTGGAAAAGTGAGTCTGCCTTCCCTGATCCTAAAGTTCTGTTTGAGAAATGGTGATGAGAGGGAGAAGGTGGCTGGGCAGAGCTCACTGTGTTGGTCGTCCCAGTCCAGTACTGGTTTGGTGTTTCTATCGTGATCTCCCACCTGGGACTTATTTTTTGCAATCTGAAGAGCCGCTCAAGAAAGAAAGTGAGCCTGCAATGACTCGTTTACATCTTCTGTGTTGTCAAATGCATCAAGAAACAAAGGGCTGGCTGCCTGAAGCTTTCATAAGAATGGGGGGGGGGGAAAGCTTTACGTTTGCTAGTTGCTAAACACAAGTTTTAGGAAGCACTGAAGTCAAACAAACAAGTTTTACGAGCGAGAAGATCCATCTGCTATCAGTGATCTTATAGATCGTCCTGTTCTCTGATACCTCAGGATTTCAAATAACATCTAATGGGCCAGAACGTACAAAGCAATCAATGTTACTCAACCTCCACAGCCCTCAGCTGCAGGTGTTTGCTGTCCCAGCACCGTGGGCTTGGAGCCAGGGCCTGGGCTCATTTCAGCCCATGTCAGCAGTTTACAGCCTGCTCAGGGCCCGGCCCCAGATCCTTCGAAGAGAAAAGTCTTGGCCAGCAAATAGTCTTGGTCTGCTCTAAAAAAAGCTCCTTCGTTGGTAGCACCGGGATGCAGAGCCACTGTGCTGCTTCAGTGCTCTGACCCCAAAACCTGAGCCTGCTCCCCGTGGTGTGCAGCAACCTTGGGAGAGAGGTGGACCCTCTCCAACAGCACAAAAAGGAGCTAGCAAGGGAAATTAAGCCTGTACTTCACGCATGTTTGGTCTGGTTTGCAACGCCAGTGCTCCTGGAGACCTTTGCTGGGAATGCAGCTCCTCCTGGCAGGCTCTGAGGTGCCATCCCACGGGCAGCATTGATCTGGAGCAGCCCTCCCGGACCCAGACATGTACCTGGCTGTGCTGAATGCCTGGCAGTCTGTCTCCCCTCTGCACCAGGGCAGCTCTTACCACTCTTGGCTGCAGACTCGTGGTTGGCCTGAGAGCCTGACGGTCTGTCTCTGCCTCTCCCGCTTTCAGTTGGTTGGCTCCACGTGTTATATCAAATATCTTTAAAGAGCACAGTTTGAATGATGGAGTTATAATTCCATCTCGGGAGTTCTGATGACTCGAGCTCGGTTCTTGTGGTTTATGATGTCACCGGGACCCATCGATGGAGCCGTAGCCCCATAATTCACCGTCGCCCTGTTATTTATTCTGTGCCATAAATGGCTGCAGTTTAATCACCAGAGTAAATTGCTGAAGCATCTTTGTGGAAACTGTGATGTTACTGTAGCAGTAACTATGGCAACAGCCATTCCATCGTGGTGGCTGGTGCAGAGGGAACCAGTAACTCTGAGCCCTGTGCACCCAGCGAGACAGGAGCCAGTGCCACCCTCAGAGAGGGGAACCTGAGGGACAAGCCCAGACACGCTCTCAGTGGAGAAAAATCCATTAATTGCTGCTCAGGTGCATGCACTGCGTGTCATTTGTAGTCTCTGGGAAACTGGGGTGTGGATCCAGACTTCACCAGCCTCAACAGACTTCTGGTATTGATTTCATGCAAAGAGATTTTTAGGGAAAACTCCTGACTCCTCTGTGGAAGTGGAAAGCAAAGCCATCTTTTCTGTGCAGTTTTTGGTTTGTTTTATTCTTCCTTTTCCAGGTCAGGTAGAAAAAAAAGAACTGAGGGCACTTGAACCAAATGGTTCAGCACTTCATACAGTTCAGGTTTATGTTTGGGTTTTGTATGACAAAAGAAGCAGGAGATTCATCTGCACTGTCCTAATTCTTCTTGCCTTGTGGACTTGTGTCCCTCTCCTTACAAGGCCTTGTAGGATCTTAGATTTTAGTGCTGGTGAGGCATAATATACCTTGATGGTACATAAGGTTCCTTAATTCTTTTTGGTAAAATGCATTTGCCAACCTATTTAATGTCATCTGAAGATGCCTGGTGGTTGTGGATGTGCAGTTGGCATTGGAATAAGCACAGGGCTGTGATGTAGTATCATAATAGAGCATTATTACAACATAAATATTATTTATTGTTTCTTAGTGAAGTGAGATTTATGAGAAGGTTTTGCTTTCCAAATCTTAAGTTTCCATTCAAGCCACAGATTTTGTAGATTCCCCCATTCCCCCCCCAAAAAAAAAAATAAACCTCTAACTAAAACCTCTGTTTTTTTCTGATTTTAAGAAAAAAGTAAGACACTTTCCAAATATATCTGTGTCTCCCTTCCTTTCTCCTTTACTTCTCTCCACTTTCTGCATTCTTTAATTTTTCTCCTTGGGAAAGAAATGAGGGGAAAACCCATTCTCTGTCCATCCTCTTTCAATACCCTGTGAATGTTTGCAGTGCTCAGCTCTTTTTTTCCCCCTCATTCCCTCTGCTGAGCAGCCCTGGAGAAGTCCCACAGCACATGGTATCAGTGCCCTGACAGTCTGCTGCTTATGGGAAATGTCATTTTACAATGTAACTTATTATTTTTAACTAAAGGTTTATGATTTTCTACAAGGATCCATTGTTTTAAGCCACGTAGCCAACATGTGTTTCTTGAGGTATCACTTACCTTTTAAGCAAGTAGCAGTTGAGTTTTGGTCAAGCCAGGCTTGGCTGTCTCTGGATTCCTACAATTATTCTGTCCTGGTAACCTGATACAGCCAGAGAGGGAAGAACAGAAAGAAAAGCCTTTTAATTTATGGTGGGTCTCAGTTCTAATCTTGTAGTTACGTAGACTTCGACTTTACCGTGAATCATTTTTAATGACAGTTGAAGAGAAAAGAATTGAAAAGCAAATCTTACCTTTCTCATCACTGGCAGCTTCTCATGACAAATCAGACTTTTTTATGGCACAGCCTTGCAGTGTGGGTATGATGCACGTGAAGGGCTGTCCAGCAGGAGAGCAGAGCCTTTTCCTGCCTAGCACAGGATAGATCTTTGCAGAAGCAACTTCAGAGCTGTCTGTGAGCTGCAGTTTTTCAGCTTGTGGAGTCCTAAATGCTGTTCGTGGAGTCTCTCATCAGGAAACTTGTGTTTCCTCGTAAGAAACTTGACTTTCTTGGTCACCTTTTAGAAGGCCTTTGGAAGTTCTTCAGGAATGTGTCTGGAAAAAAGGGTGGAAAAAGTTGATGTCAGAAGCCCTCACGGACTTGAATGTAGCCAGAATGTCCCTCCTTCCCTCCAGCGAGCCTGGTGCCATCTGCATGTAAAGAGAGATCCCTGAGGGGGCTTGGGGGTCACCAGTTACAGCCCCAAGGCTGCCAGAGCTCAAGGAGTGTTTGGACAACACTCTCGGGGATGTGGTGGGATTGCTGGGGTGTCTGTGCAGGGCCAGGAGTTGGACTCAATGGTCCCTGGGGGTTCCTTCCAGTTCAGGATGTTCTATGACTCTATTTGCTTTGGAGCCCATGCTGTTGGTCAGAAAAGAAAATGATCTGCAGCAGTGGCTGGTTTGGTGGTTTGATCCCCGTATGGGCCATTCGCTCTAGAGTTGGACTCCATGATCCTCGTGGGTCCCTTCCAACTCAGAATATTCCGTGATTCTCTGTGATCTTGCCAAGAGACCCGATTTAAAGGGTCACCCTTCTTCAGCAGAGCCATGGCTGTGCACTCAGTAGTCAGAAGGCAGAAGTTTAATGCTGATGCCCCGAGTGGGGCAGGAGAAGGTGCTGTCAGAGCTGCTGCTGTGGTGCCCAGTGGAGTTAACAGAGAGATGCTCTCACTGTAACTGGATACTGGCAGTATCCTGCAGTGCATCCACGTGGCAACTTCCCATCAGCACTAACGTGGCTTTCTGAAAGCTCCTTTCTGTTCCTGGCATGGTCACTCCTTGTTGGTGCTGTTGGGAACTCCCCCACCCTTTGTGAGCTTGGCCATGCTCTGGGAGTGTCACTGGCCTGGGCCAGGCTGGAGCTTTTCAGTGCTGCTGAAAGAAAACCACGACATTTCTTGGAGCCCAGAGGAGCAATGAGATGCCCTGCATAGCGTGAATCCCACATCACCACAGGCTTTGCTTGGCTTCTGTCGTTCTTGCGTTTCTTCCACGACCTCCAACTTCTTCCTGTATGGAGACATGATTCCAACTTAGGTTGGCTACACACTGTGTTCTTTCTGACACATTTTGACAAATTGGGTTTGATTTTACCCTGGAGGTCTTTCCATACTTAATTTTATGATTGTGGAAGGTCATCAAAAGGGTAGTGCTATTTAAAGACCAAATCGTGTCACATTTACTCACGGGACTAATGCTCTTTTTCTTGAAGATGTCCATTCATTTCAGTGGAACTACACATGGAGTAAATGGCACCAGTTGTAAGCAGAGGCACTTGAGCCTGTCTTACTCATCTCAGTGGACTACTGAGAGAGTGAAAGTCAAGTCCTTGTCCTTGCCATTGATTTTCCAGCCCCTGTTATTTGGAGGCGGTTTTCTGGCCCCCTCTAGTGACTGCCCACATGGGGATTTATGGGTGAGATCCAACCTTTTCGCAGTCAGAAACAGCCATTTCCACCCCAAGAGTAAATGGCCTAAATTTTAGAAGTGGCATTTAAAATCCTGAGTTTGTTCTCCTTTGCTCACAACACTCTCAGGAGCATCACTTTCCAACTTGGTGGATCACATTTCCAACCTGGTGGGGCTTCTTATGGCACTGGGAACTGCTCACAGTGGTTAAGGGTGAGGCAATTCATACTGATGTTAATGTGGTGGCACAGCCCTGGTTATACTCCCATAGTCCAAAGGTTCACGTTCCTTAATGGAAGCTGGAGGTTTTTGGGGTTACAGCTGCAATACCAAAGGAAGAGCCACGAGTTAATCAGAGAATCATTTAGGTTGGAAAAGCCCTCTGAGATCATCGAGTCCAACCATGCCCCCAGCACTGCCAGGCCCACCACTAACCCATGTTCCCAAGAGCCACATCCACAGGGCTTTTGAGCACCTCCAGGGATGGGGACTCCACCACTTCCCTGGCTATTCTGTGCACTGCCTGAGCACCCTTTTCATGAAGAAATTTTCCCTGATATCCAATCCACACTTCCCCTGGCACAGCTTGAGGCCATTTCCCCTCATCCAGTCCCTTGTTCCTTGTTTGATATCCTCCTGGCTCCCCCCTCCTGTCAGGGAGTTGCAGAGCCAAAAGGTCTCCCCTGAGCCTCCTTTTCTCCAGGCTGAGCCCCCCCAGCTCCCCCAGCTGCTCCTCTGTGAATCAGAATGTGTGACCTACTGAATTACAGTGAAACCCAGGGTGAGGCTTGGAGTCAATAATGAAAAGGTATTTTTCAAAGACTTTCTTTTTCTTATTCTTTTCATACTACTGGAACTGCAAAAGGAATCTGATTTAAAATATGAATTAGAAATTTTATACTTCTTATGGCTCTGTGTTCTTGAGAAGCAGATACTTATCACAGGCCTGTTTTCTTGGGGGAGTGTGCAAGGAGCTTTTGGAACAGGTTTCCTACTTTTTGGCTAACGAGGAGTGGGACAATTATTTATTCCAAGAAGCTGGAGCAGGGTTGACAGCCTGGGGGTAGACCTGAAAGAACAGTAACACTTTAGGCTTTAGTTGCTCTGAGATCCTTTAGAAACAACTGCCTTGATCTTTTAGTGCCCTGGTAAATCATTTATTCTGATCACCTACTTCAAATTCCCTCTCACCCATCCTATGGGATGGAAGGAGCTGGGTATAGAGCTCCTGGCCATAACCCAGCAGGTGAACTGCAACAGTGCAGAGCTTCAGCCGGGCTCCCAGAGCACCTGGCAAAGCTCCTGGGTCAGGAGCAGCCCCAGAAATTCAAATTCCTCTGACAAACAGGGTGTCTGGAGCTGGAGGTTTTGGACAGGATTTCTCCCCTCTCAGGTTGCAGGCTGCAGCCAGGACACATGCTGTTGAACACACTGCATCCCCTCTGCCTCTCCCTCCTCCCACACTGTCTTGGTGCTCCCTGACAATCTGTTTCAGTTCCCCTTCACTTCAGCATGACCAGGGTCCCCCAGGTTACCCAGTGATTCATCTCTCTGGAATTTGGGAGTGCTGCTTCTCTGCTCCTACCCAGACTGGCAAGGGGGTTATTAAAGCATCAGAGATTAACTAGAACCTCTTTTGGTGAATATTTAGGTGAAGAGCACTTGATGCCAGACGTTATTTTCCGTGTGTGTTCTGACACCAGACTTCATTACTGCACCTCACGTTTCTCTGTGTGCGTGGGTTTGAACACCTTTTCCAACCTCAACCATATTAGAGGACCCCTGCTGCTTTGGGAATGCACACTGGGAATGACTTCAAGTGGAAGCGTGTTTGGATTGTCCTACTTCTATTTCTGAAGCCCTCTCAAGGGAACTCGCTCTCTCTTCTCACCCCATCGCTTCCGATGGGGCCGAGTCACTGCATTCCGTGCGCGCACAGTGACACCTCAGAGAGACTTGGACTGTTCTCTTGTCTCACTTCCACTCTCTTCCAGGCTGGATGCACACCCTGGAGGTATGTGGTTTGTCTCAAGATATAAGACTTCCCCCCTCAGAAACTACATTACTTCAACAAGCCACAAAGGGCTGGCAAGAGGGAGAAGGATTGTTAGCGCAGCTTTCCTGGGAGATCTCCTCTGTGGACTCCACGCAGCTGGAAACAGCCTCTCCCTCTCCTGAGCTCACGTGCGTGGGCAGACACACGTTCCCTCATGCAGCAGTTTCCCTGATGTGTGAGCACAGACACAAACACTTGCTTACAGAGGCACAAATACCTTCCCCGTTGTCCTTGCACAGGCGGAAATTCTCTGAGCGCGTGATCGTCACCCCCTGCAGCCCCCAACCTGCTCTTCGTGCAGGTGCATCAGTGCCCCAGAGCACGTGCACCCCTCTCCTGCATGCACAGATATAGGTGCATCTACACAGCCTGCAGAGGTGTTGCAGAATTTGGAGGGAGAGATGAGCAAACTGAGCCTGAAGGGACCTCTTGAGGTTTAATCCAACCACTGTTCCAAGGAGGCTCACACTGAGTTCAGAAAAGGTTGCTCAGGGCTCTGTCCAGTCAGATGTTTAAAACCTCCTGAGGCAGAGATGTGATAACCCTTTTTTTTTTTTCCTTAGACTGAGGCAGAACCTTCACTCCTTCAATGTTTCTCCTTTTTTTGACCTTTAATGTGTCTCTGACCCCCCCTGCCACACACCTGAACAAAGAGCCTGGGTCTGTCTCCCTATACATGCCATGTGATCAAGAAGGCTACAATTAACTGCCCCTAAAACTTGAACAGGGTGGACAAACTCCCTTCTCTCAGCTTATCTCCATAAATCCAGCCCCTTGACTGTCTTCTTGGTGGCTCCCTGTTGCATTTGTTCAGGTTTATCAGCATCTTCCTGGTACTTGGGAGCTCACAACTGGGAATACACCAGATGGGATCTAACAGCTCACAGAGGGATAACAGTTTCCCTCGACCTGTTGGCACAGGTGAGTGTGCTGTGAGTTTTCCTTGCTGCCAGGTGAGCTGGTTGTCCAAGTGCTCTTGGCTGGAATTGAAGGGATAACAAAATACTCAATACAAAATCCAAACGCCGAGCTTTGCTTCTTACCTGTCTGGGCTCAGATTTAATGGATCTGAGACCTCAAACAGTTCCAGGACCCTCTCCAGGAGATCACAGCAGCTGATCCAGCTTTGGGAGAACAGGATGACCTACCAGATCTCCTGCATGTTTTATTTCTATGATGTGACCATTTTTGCTCTTTTCTTTTTTGGCCTTGGAGATCCACTGAACATTTTCCCTTTCCTGTATTTGGAGGGATTCAGCCATTTGAAATCCTCCTTTCCTACTATCCAGTGTCCACACTGGTCACAACCATAACTGCCCAAATCACAGGTTTAAAATCTTGAAGTAGTTAATTTGGGGAAGAACCTCAGACTCCCTAGAGGCTCCTACCTACCTGTTACCTTGTGAGGCATGTGCTGAAGGGGAAGGGTATTTTTTTTCAGCTTGTTTTCAGACCCCAGTTGGGAGATCCCCTGTTCATACACTTTCCAACATAAAGCAGAAGGGAATCCTGAGCAGAGTCCTTCAGGTGAATGGGAAAAATGGAAATACAACTTCAGGGTTTCGTTTTGAGAAAAAGAATCTAAAGGAATCTTTCACTTTTTCCAGCCTTTTCCCATTTTTTTGCAGTGAAAAGTATTTGCTAAATTTTGCAAATGCTTTTGGATAACCCAAATCTGGCTAATCCAGTATTGTGGTGACTAAAATAGGAGGCTAAAAAATTCCCCCAGCGCCAGGCTGTGTTCTGTTTGTGAGGCTGATTTCATGTAACAGGAACTGTGGTGCAATCCAAACACCTGCCAGGTGGGCATTAAGTGATGTGACCTTGTGACTGTCACAGTCAGCTCGGTTTCGAACCAGGAGAAAATCTGGATCAGGGTGTAGTTTTTGGGGAGGTGTTTCTTTCTCATTGTAGTTCTTATCTTCACCACATTTTTGTGATTTATTTCTTTTTCTTTGCCGTGAACCAGCCTGCTGGTGAGAAGATGACTTTATCCAGGAACTCTCCACTGCTGAAGGAGCTGAAGGCCAAAGACTCTCATCTGTCCCCAAAAAGCAGGAAGCACAGCCATGGATGAGGTAAGCACAGCAGCCTGAAATGGCTTTGAGTGTTTTATTCAGTGCAGTGCAGGGACCACCAGTGTGTAGAAGTACGTGTTGTACTGGTGGTTAACCAGCAGATCATGGAATGGTGACCTGGGAATGCTTTCAGTCATGGACAGCTGTGGATTTGTATTTATATACACCTGTTTTACCTACCTAAGGCTCAGAGTCAGGGAGACTGATTTTGGGTTTGCTCAAGACCAGTATTTGCTGGAATGACTTAAGGCTGATAATATATTAATAGAAAAGAGCAGTTGAGATCTATTATATATTTCCAAAGATGCTTACTTGTAAGACTTCAGTAACAATTATTTGTGAACTATCTTTAAATTCACACAAATGTGAACACCCCTCTCTGTTCATGTTCCCGTGTGCACCCTCAGTGGGCAGTGTCTGAGGACATCATGCACGTGTGAGGAGGGATTTCTTGTTTGGTGTGGACATCCTTCCACTCAGGCAGTGCCAGGGAGATGTTCATAGAATCACAGACTGTGTTGAGTTGGAAGGGACCTTAAAGTTCATCCAGTTCCACCCCCTGCCATGGGCAGGGACACCTCCCACTAGCCCAGGTTGCTCCAAGCCCCGTCCAACCTGGCCTTGGACACTTCCAGGAATCCAGGGGCAGCCACAGCTTCTCTGGGCAACCTGTGCCAGGGCCTCCCCACCCTCACAGGGAAGAATTCCCTCCCAGTATCCCATCTAACCCTGCCCTCTGGCAGCAGGAAGCCTTTCCCCTTTGTCCAGTCATTCCAACCCCTTGTAAAAAGTCTCTCTCCAACCTTCTTGTAGGCCCCCTTTAGGTACTGGAAGGCTGCTATAAGGTCTTCCCAGAGCCTTGTCTTCTCTGGGCTGAAAATGCTGTCCATGTTCATGGGCAGGGTTGCAGGCTGTGTTCACCTGTGTCAGGATGTGCCTCTGTCATTTTGCACAGTTCCTCCAGACCGTCACACGGGTGCATTTTAGGACAGAACAAGCCCTGGCCAATTCAGGAAGTGACACATGCTTTTACATTCGGGGGCCAAATCCAGATTTTCCCACTGAAGCCAAAAGTATAAGCAACACAATTCCATGAGCATGTTGCCTCTGAGTGACAGTTTGAGTGCAGGGGGGTGACTGGGTTTGGCTGAGCTCTCTATTGCTCTGAAAAGAGCAGTCGATGCCCTTGACTAGCGAGTGATGCCAAGTGCCACATGTGTGATAATGGCCAGGGGCCTGGTCACTCTGCCCAGCCAGTCCCTGAGGATTTGGGTCTGGCCAGTAGCAGCCAGAATGCTTGGGAGACAAGTTTCTGTATGAAATTCTTCTCCAGTGGAAGGTATCCCTGCCTCTGGCAGGGGAGCTGGAGCGAGATGAGGTTTAACCCAAACCACTCTGTGATTCTATGTAATTTGTGTTGCTTCTCTGCAGGGACTATAGGGTTAAATCTCTCCTTTGTCTCAGATACAGAGCACAAAGTGAAAATCTGTGACCCTGCAGGTTCCCAGGTTGCTGTCTGTGTGTGTGGATCTGGGTGTAGGGTGGGTTATCCTGCTCTTGGCAGGGGTGAATATGTGGGAGAGCAGAGCCTGGTCACACGTCTGTGTCGGTGCAGCTGCTGATGAACACGAGGGTGTTTGTGTCGGAGCTGTCTGGGGCAGGAGGTGCATGTGCTGTGTGTTATTCTCACATCCTTGCTAGCAGCAAACAATGTCACGTCCCTACCTGGACTGCAACATGACACACACCTCAAAAACAGCAGCAACAACGAGCTCCAGAGCCACAGGAGAAAGCAGAGCTGCTCTTTTTTTGCTCATCAGCCAGGAAATCCTGCCAGCCCCGGCAAAGCATGCCGGGATCCAAACCGGCTTTTGGGCTGGGGCTGGAGGGGGGGAGCGAAAGAGAAGCAGTAATTTGTTTGCCATCGCCCTGGAGCCAGGAAATCCAAACCTCAAGCATTTCCCAGGCCACAGCACATGGGTGTTGGGGGAGAGTGTCAGGAGTGGCTCCCAGGAGCACACCCACCCGTGTGCACACGCACGGGGAAGGGGCTCCACTCCAGCACCATGGCTGAGATGCTGAGACAATCTCGAGTTTTCAGGCCATAGCTGTCAGGATGCTTCGGTATATTCATCACCCCCCACTCCGTGGTGATAAAAATTTACACAGCCAACGAAACGAAGATTAATTTCATGTGAAAAGCTGACAGAATGGCCCATGTCATTGCTTTATTTGTGCCAGCACTCAGTAACTCGGTGCAAGTTCCATCGAGGTGGCAGACACCCCGTCCCCTTGAGCCATCTCGTCTCCTCTCTAATGATGCCACCGTTTTGACAAAACCGAGCAACACAGCCGGTATGTGCGAATTTGGAATTAATTTTCCTCGGAAAGGTCAAGTATGTTAATGAGCTTTTGGCTGCCCACGTTTTCTCTCTTGTGTTTTTCCCCCCATTAATGGGGGGAAGAGGGTGGGAGGGGGAAAAAAGAAGGGGGAGAAATAATTACAGGAATAAAAAGGAAGGAAGGAGGAAAAGAGAGAAGCTGTGAGGATTTGGAAGAGGCAGGATTCAGCGTGGTTTTTCAGGGGCTCTCCTTTTCCAGGACTGAGGCGGGCTAATTGTATCAGCGCAAGTCTGTGCAGTTTGCTTGGAGCTGTTGAGCAGGGCCAGGGATGTCATGGATAGCAGAGTTGGTGTAACCTGGCACGGAGGGGGTGAATTGCACCTCCTTTGCACTCGGGGACTGAAGGCAGCCCTGTGTGTTGGCAGCTGCCTTCGTTTTCCATCACAGAATGGCTGAGCTCGGCTCAACGCGGGGCTCTGTGTGCTGGGCGAGCAGAGAGCAAGGGAAGGTGAGGGAAAGAAGGATTTCCATTATGAGAGGAAGCTGGGAGAAAGCTCAGCTACTCTGGGAGAAAGGCCAGGGCCCACTAATTCATCCAGTTTAGAAACAGGACAAACAGGCAGTTTAAAGAGAAATTGTCCATACAAATGGCATGAGATGTTTGAACTAACTATGATGCCAACCACTGTGTTCCCCAAATTCCTGCCTTTATTCCTGCAAGTTAGAATTTGCCACTTTCTGGCATCCTCATGGCAGGAATTGCTTTGATATCTCAAGGAGTTGGGTGATGATCAACGGGAGGAAAGGTGGTGAAAACAGCAGATGATGTGTCAGGGCATAAGGGAGCAAAGCTGAACTCCTGGCTCTGTCCCACACGAGTCACACTCACCTGGATAGGACATTTAGGGTAGGATTCATCTCACCTAATTTTAGTCTTCTTAAGCAAAGTATCCAGACTAAACTAATTGTCCAGGTTTCTCTTCTTGATAACAGAGAACAGTAAGGAGGAACACATATCCCACCTAATTTGAGAGAAATTCCATTCTGGCAAGCAGTTTCTTTCTCATTGAATATAAAGTGAACTTAAGCAATTAGTTTGGACTGAACCCCTACCTTTTAGAGGCTTAAAATTATGGGGTGTGATTTCCTCCTCATTCTCTTCTCCCTGCTCCCATTCTGGCTCTTATTTCCATATAATCCTGCAGGCAGAGGAAATCCAGTGGGTCTCATAGTGGCTGTATTGGCAGGGTAGGATCAATGCCTTTCCCTCAGCTTGCTCAGGCTGGCTCCATGCTTATCCACTCTTGTGGCAACACAACCTTTGGCTGTGATCTGGTCCTTCCTGCCTCACACTGCTGGAGCCAGCCCAGCACACGGAATCTTGGGCATTGTCCAGGAAGCCTTTGTTGACTTTGGAGGGTGCATGTTTTGCCATCCTGGCCACAGTGCAAGGAGAAACGATGTGCAATGTAACAGTGCCGGTGTCACATTTAAGGGTGTCCTTAATTAGGGGTTTGCTTTGTTTTGCACCTTACCCAGCTGGTTCTGGTGTGTGGGTCCATCCGTGCGTGGCCCTGGCGTGTTCCCCACATGACTCATCCTGCAGCGGGGCTGCCTCAGACTCGTGGCTGGGACACGGATTTCCAAAGCACTCAAGTGGCCAAACTTAATGATTTTCAGCTGACTCCCAGCACTGTCCTAAACAAGGAATTCCTACCCATAAACCACTGTGCTGCCCACGCTCTCCCCCTCTCCCCCAGGCTCTGTGGTGTCCATGGAGGCACATTCTGCTCTGCTGACCCTGCTGCAAGGTGGGGTGGCAGCTGGGGACAGTGAGATTCACCAGAGGAGCTTTGGGCTGTCCCTCTCACATGTGCTTGCCCAAATGGTCTCAGAACATTCATGGGCATCACCAGATGTATATCTTTTCTCTCTAGAAGTTGTTGTGTTGTTAAGAGGTCGCTTTATTCCTCCTCAGAGGAAGTTTCTGTGATGGAAGGAAATTATCTGTTAAGCTCTGCTAAGGTATAAATTTAACAGTAAATACTAATTTGTGCACAGGACGAAGGGGGTACAAGAGAGATTTAAAGTATTTCGGTGGCAAATGGGATTTTGAGTCCTCAGTTCTGGCAACAAAAAGAACACAGGAGGTGTCTGCACAGAGATTACCTCGTTCATGGCCATGGTGAAGTAGGGCATCCCTGTCCTGTGGTTGCCTGGGGTATCAGAAGAGGATGAGATCTATAAGAACTTGAGTTCTTAGGGAACTTCTCAGCCAGCAGCTCCCTGGGGCTTTAGCTGAACTGTGGGATATTCAGTGTTTCCCAACTCTCGTGTCAAGGACCATCTCCTCTCTTCCCAGCTGTGAGATGTGGCTCTGCACCATTTCTGTGTCCTCCCCTCCCACGCTCTGGTTTCCGTAGGGAGGAATCCTGGGGATGTGAGTCAGGGAGCTGTAGGGGTCTGTCACCAGTGGGAATGATTCAGGCCTGAGACAGCACAGCACACCTACCCCCTGATTTACAGATCGCCCTAGGGACACTCAAAGCCACATTTTCCCAACATGCCAAATTCTTGAGAAAACCCAGCCACTTGTTTTGGTGCTTAAATAGAAACATAACCCCTCAGAACAGGCACAGAGTCTATGAGATGCATCAGGGCAGTGAGTCTGCTCTCCCCTCCTAGTGCTCCTCCCGTGTTCATGGATATCATGGAGCACGGTGTCCCTTCATCCCTGTGTTGTGGGGATTGTTTGTGCCATCTTCTCTCAGCTTCTGTTTCTTTCTGTCCCTCTGTTTTTCCCCTGTGTGAGAGCACTGGTGCCTGCAATGGGAGGTCACCAGTGAGGTTACTCAACTGGCTCCAAGTATTAAGGCTTCCTGCTCTGCTATGAAGAGCTGCCAAGTCCCCCCTCCCCGCCGCTCACCACAAACCCAGTGCCTGTTTGTCTCCCTCTCTCCCCTTCTCATCCCTCCTCCTACCAAGACATTCAAATCTCTCCCCAGCAGACAGAGTGGGAGGACAAGGCACCCCGAGCAACCTTCAGATGTGTTTGCCTGAGTTCCCAAAGCAGTGTGGCCACAGGGTGATGTTGTCTTTGCCCCTTATCGATGTTGCCAGAGGGTGAACTGTCCCCATCTGTCCCTCCAGAGTCTGTGGCAGGTTCCCATCAGGACCTGACCCAGTAGCTGGGCTGACAAAAGGCTTTTATTTCCACTGGAAAATGTCATCAGGTTCTTCTACCATCAGGCTGAGGGGATCCACGGATAAGTGTGAAGGGGTTCATGAGCAGTGTTTGAGGAGAATGTGAATTTTGTCAGCTGGTGGGAATGGGCTGCACAAGGACCTGTAGCTTCCTCACCAGTCTGGTAGGGGAGTACAGATATATAAGAGTTAAAAATCTCTGCCCTAGGCATGAACCTGGGGAAAGACAAGGAATCTCCTGTCCCAAAGGAAGCGAAATTTTGCCAAGGGCAATGTGGCAGTGGGTGATCAGCCTAAAGGGAGAGAGCTGCCTTTGGTGGGCATCTGGGCATGTGGGGAGGGAGCAGAACACAGGGAGAGCTTTATTTACAGGAACAGAGCATGAACCAGAGATGAGAAACAGTTAGAACAGGATCCTGTGAGGAGCAGAGGACATAAATAAGGTGGGAATGGGGGGAAGATGGGAGGGGTGGTCACAATTTTTGAAACAGCCAAGGGGAGTGGGGATGCTGCTCCAAAAAGCACCGCAGAGATCAACCACATTCAAGTAAAAACACAATTTTCTTTAAGAATAATACAGAAGCCCCACACACTAATGGTTCAATAGGATGAGGAAAAGCTGCCTGCTCCACCCCACTATATGCTGAGGTAAGGGTAAAACCAGAGCCCCTCGGGCAGGAGCCTGCCAGTGGTGCACAGTCGGCCTTGGACACATCTGGGGTGCTCCAGTTGGCAACGATCCTGCTCTCAAAGCAGAAAAACAGCTGCTTTGGAAGAGGATTTTAGGCTCTCCAGCCGTGGCTGACTCCCCTCAGCTCCTTGTCCTTGCTTCTAACTCCCTTTCTTAAAGATCTCCCAGGAGATTTCCCACTGCTGTCAGTGCTGCTGGGGTCACCAGCCAGGAGCTCTTGTCTTTTTCCCAGGAACTGTGAGGCTGCAGGAAACGTGCCCCGAGGAGTTCTTTGTGAGCATCACACCTGAATTTACCCCACTCTCTCCCAGTTTATGCTAAATGGAGACCACAGAGACCTCATTTAATGACCGGGTTTGTGTAGGTGTAAAGCTCTTTGAGGTCTCCATAAACATGGGTGTTTATTCATTTGGAGTTCATTTTGATTTTCTTTTAAGATGAATTCATTAGCAGGGAGAAAGCCAAAGCCTCACTGCTAAAAATCCAAGTCTTGGTTTTGTTTTGTTTTAAGCCATGAAACAAGTATAAATTAACTAATTTCTAATTATGATCTCATGGGGCTGGTCCTTCAGGCTGCCCCCATCCGTGTGGTCTGTGTTCTGGGAGCTCACAGACAAGGAAAAGCTGAGAAAAGCATTGAAATAGGAGGACTGGGGGCAGCTCTTGCCTTGTTTGATGGCACCCTGTATTAGCTGCTCCTTTGGTTGTTAGGGATATCACATTCCAGGGACGCATTGCTGTGGTTAAGGGGTGAAGTGAGACAAATGAGAGGACAGAGGTTACACACATGAGCTACAAGGATGTCCCCATTTTGATGCCAGGTAGAAAATCAGATGGAGTGTGTTTGCTCCTGCCCTGGGGCTAAGAGCAACAAAGGGAAAGAGCAGGGGATTTATCTAACTACAGTCTAATATTCCTTTGGCTGCAGCAAAGGCTGCAGCACTTCCCGACTATCGGCTGGCGCTTTCACTCACACACATCTGTGATTGATGGGCAGAGAGTATAAACACCTCATTAGTGCTATAATTCACTGGTTAGGGCTCAGACTGGGCTGTGGGAGGGAGGGGGGGGGAAAAGAGTTGAGAAAGTTTAATAAAGGAAAAAAAAAAAATGGAAGAAGGGGAAGAGCGGATGTAAAGGCCACACAAATCATTCCGGGGAGTTATCTGACCTGCTTTGAAAACTTTAATTGCTGATAATGGACAACCTGTTGGGTGGTATTTTATTAACACTAATAGATTTTTACGGGATATTTCTCACATTGCTCTCCCAGAGCCCAAGGAATACATTAAATATTAAAAGTTAATGCTCTTGGTTGCTGTTTCAAGGATGCCCCGCTGATAACGAGCTTTCCCGCAAGTTAGAAACCAGGAGAAAACATGAGCTGCCTTTGCCACTTACGGCCTCTGCAATAATAATGAGGAAAACACTTGAAGCCTGTGTGCACCTTGCAGCTGAGCTGCTCAAGTCTGGCCTAAATGCTCTGTGAAGGCAGTGCCCAGCCCAGAGCTGGTAGCTGCATCTCATCTCCAATCCTGGATTTACAAGAGCTGGATTCCAGAGTCCCACGCTGAAATGTTTGTAACCCCCATATGCTACTTTACATTTCAGTTATTCAAAGCAGAGGCTGAGCCGACAACCCATTCCTGTTTCTCAAGAGAACTTAGGTCTGAAATGGATGATATTTTTCTTTAATGTGCTGAATGGTTTTATAAAAGTGTTGCTTCTGCACTGATCTGTTACAGAAATGACCCAGCTATCTGGAGCAGAAATGGAAGCACCTCAGGAAACATCTGTAGAGGCCTCCAGGACTGTAGGCACCAAGGGAAATTCTGGAGGAGGCTCCAAAGTCCTGCACACAGCAGACAACCCTCAAAGTATGGAAAAAAAGGTCAGTTCTGTGCTGTAAAGAGATGGATTCAAGCAGCCCAAGAAAGAAAAGAAGTTAATGCAACACTGGGGAGGTTTGCTGGGGGGAAAGTAAATTTGAAACAGGATGAGCAGTAACCAGCTTGTGTGGTGAGTCGGGGGGCTTGTGTTAGGACTGGAAAGTCATAATGCACTTTTGTGCTCGTGGGTAAAACCTGGACTTCCCCTTTAGTGCCTTCTTTGGGTGCACCAGCACGGCCAGCAGTGATGCCCTGGGCCTAGAAAGCCAAGTTAAATCTGTTAACCCTGCCTGTGGTGGCCTTCCTCTTTGGAGTCGTGTCATCTTCCCTGGCGGCAGCAACGGGCTCGGTTTTGGATCTCACTCTGACCTCTGTTTGTGCAGCCACCTTCTTGTGCCAAACCAAGCTGGGCTGGATGGCCCCATCCACGCTCCGTGGAACAGCCCTGGTCCAATCCTGGTGAGTAACTCAGCTTTCCAGGCCTGCTTGGCTGGAGAGCAGCTTTACTGTCAAACCAGCTAGACCTTACCAAGAGCCTGGTTCCAGCTGCCAGGCCTTTCTGTAGGCAGCCTACAAGAAGATGGATTTCCATACCTCCTTTCTCAGTAAGTGTTTTCTTGTAGTCATGCCATGAACTGTTGGAGCTGGGTTATCTTGGTCTCCTCACTCTCCTCACCGTTGGTTTTTCCAGACAAGGAGGAGAAGCTGTCCAAACTACCTACTCACCCTTGGCAGCCACTCCCACCCTCCTTGCTTAAAACAAGACATCTTCTGTATCCCTCTGTATTCCATGCCCCATTTCTGTGGAAGTTTTTCAGGTTAAGTAAAGGGTTCAGCTGCTCTGGGATGGTGCAGGCAGAAGAGGAGAGGCTCCAGTTCAGTCTCCTCTAAGTCTGGCTTTAATAATTGAGATCTCATTTTGGCATCTTGAAGTCGAGCTGCTAGAGCCAGTTTTCTGAGGAGTTAGGGACTGATCACAGAGACTAGTTGTCTTCTCTTACATATGGACCTGCTCAGGTCAGAAACATGCACTGCAGGTTTTAGACTTTGCTGGGGAATATTTCATTAATCCTGTCTGCACTGGGGGGTGTTAAGGGCCTTCAGGGACTGGACACCAGCTTGTCTGTGTCAGTTGAGTTAAATGCCATTTTTTTTCCCCTAGGACATTCCCCAAGGAGTCTTAATATGAATATACAGATGGTTAGTAAGTGTGTGTTTTGTCCTACAGTAAATGACATCACAGCAGCCACAAGGTAGGTGCAAATCAAACTGGGAACTTCAGTTTCTGGAAGGTCTTACCTTTTGAGTTAGACCAGGTGCTGAAGCCATGATGGGGCATGGGCAGGGCCAGTCTCTTGCTTTCCTTGAACACAGAGTCTTTAGATTGCTTGGACTGAACTCTCTCCAGGTGGTTTAAGAGTCTTTTCAAATCGTGTATCTTCTGTCTCTGAAAGAAGGATTTGAATCATGGAATCACAGAATGGGTTGGGTTGGAAGGGACCTTAAAGTTCATCCAGTCCCACCCCCTGCCATGGGCAGGGACACCTTCCACCAGCCCAGGTTGCTCCAAGCCCTGTCCAGTCTGGCCTTGGACACTTCCAGGGATCCAGGGGCAGCCACAGCTTCTCTGGGCAACCTGTGCCAGGGCCTCCCCACCCTCACAGCCAGGAATTTCTTCCCAATGTCCCATCTAACCCTGCCCTCCCCCTTTGGCCATTCCCCCTTGTCCTATCAGTCCAGGCCCTTGTCCAAAGCCCCTTCCCAGCTCTCCTGGAGCCCTTTTAGGCTCTGGAAGGGGCTCCAAGGTCTCCCCAGAGCCTTCTCTTCTCCAGGCTGAACAATCCCAATTCTCTCAGTGAATTTGGGAGGAAGTTGCTTGGAGGGTAATGGGGAAGAAGAGCCAGGAGAACTTGGTACAGTGATAAATCCTTTGGCTCCCACACTCCAGGATGTGCTTTGTTTCTAAACTGCTGTTTAGCGATAAAATGGTCTTAGTTACTTAACGGGAATTGACTTTGTCCCTTCTCCTCCCCCTGGCAGCCCATCCGTTCTCCCCGTCTCCCCTCCAGTAAGGGCAGCTTTTCCTGATTGACCCCACAGGCTTACGAAAAACCTTTTTACTTAAACGTGTATTGACCTCAGTCTTGCTGCCCAGTGAATTATGTCACAGCTGGCAATCTGAAAGCCATAAATCAGGGCTCCAACCCGGGGAGCTGTCTCCTGATGACACGGATCTGAGCCTTCATCGATGAAGGTTGTACCAGGTGCCTTCGTGTCTCTGACAACTGGGGAGGGAATACCCTTTTTATGTTTCTTTTCTGTCGCCATCCCCTAGGCCCTGTGATATTTTTTTTTTCTCTGCCCTTTGGTTGTTTTTTTTTTATTTCCCTTCCCCGTCTGTCTTTGCGCCGTGTATAAAATTTCCTTCCTTGCCTTAACCCACCCTCCAAAGGGAAAGAAAAGGAACCTGTCAGACTTGGCATCTTGGGTAGTCTTAATTCTTAGGTAGTGTTAATTTTGTCAGTCTTTCCTTATTCCCTTCCTGTTTGATTTTTGTGTTGATTTGCTGTTGTTTTCCCTGATGTGATTTTACGATCCGGACAAATGCGCTGGACAAATGAGAAATTTAATGACACTGGAAATATTTCTCCCATATTTTGTGAAGCAAAGTGATTCCAATAGATCTTTTGCCCTGTGACTTGGGATGTGCTGGCTCGTTGTCACTTTGTGGATGAGGGAAGGGGAATACTCCATGAAATGTGAAGCATCATCACAAATTCAGTCAACCCTTCTGTCTCTATGCAAGTATTGATCAAGTGGGAAGGAGGGAACTCGCTCCCTGACAGAGTTTGTAAAAGGAAGATCTGCGTCGTGCTTGACTTAAATAGTAAAAATGCCACGAGTTTTCATAATTCCCTGTTCCTTTGGGGAATCAGGGAGGCATAGCTTCATCTTCCTCTTCTCACAGACAAGTATTTCACATCTTGCCTGGGTGGCAGAGCCAGAAAAGGAGGGATATTTGCTTGCTTTCCCACATCTCAAAATAGAGCTGCATGAACAATTTTTGACTTTATTCTGTCTATGCTGGAATACAATGCTAGCTGGGAAAGAAAAAGCATATTTTTTAGTTCTTCTAGGATTAGTAGAAATACTGCCTTGGTGACAGACCCGTTGCTTGTTAGAGATTTTGCAACCCTGATTTTATATCTGTGGCACATTCCTCCGATGTGCCACGTGAATTCTTCAGCTCAGGAATGTCTTGACTTTAGGAGATGTTACCTTTTTGTCTGTGTCTTGGCTGACTTTAGGAAAGGCAGACAGATAAGTTTGGAGATAGCTCTGATAATGTGCCTGGTGCTGAGGCCAGACCTGGCAAGGCTGGGATCAGTCCAGGGCTGATGTTGGCTCTGAATGTCACTGGGGAAGCTGGGAGGGCCCTCGGTGGGTTCAGTGCTCTGGATGGAGATCAGATCCCGAGATAACAAGGTGATGACAAGCACCTTCAGAAATACTGACACAGAGACAGATAAAAGAAGATGCAGTAATAGTGTGTAGAAATAAATCCTTCTCGTTCTGCTTTTGATCTTCTGCATTTCGTGAATGTAAGAATTTTCTTAATATCAGTTTCTTACATCATCCATAAGCTCATGCCCTGCATTTTAACAGCCTTACAAAATGTTACTCAAAGAAATGGATCCAGGCATTTATTTTAAAGACACTGGATTAGGCACTATCTGTATTTAGATTAAATTCCTCCCCCACAATGTTTGCAATATAATGTTTGTGGTACTGGCATGTGCAGCACTGCCCAGAGAGTGGAGCTGGCTGGAAATTCCCTCATCTGCATAAATGCAAATGACTAAAAACTTGGACTGGTGGGAGAAAAATTAGTAGATTATGGGTTTTATTCCTCCTTTATTGATGTAAATCGCAGGCATGTGTAATGATAGCTGTGATTTTAAAGTGGGCTGTGCCCCTTCAAAGAAAATGTGAGCTCATAAATCCTGTGAGATTAGAGATCCTGGGGCCCGATGTGGCAATGGCTCCGGGTTTATGGCATTCCTCAGGACAGCCGGGATAGGATGTTCTGTGACCCGGCTTTTATGAAGATCAAAAGGCTTAAAAACTGTTGAGAATAAGATTTCCACGTCGTCCAGGGGGGAGACACCGAGCTGTCAAGTGGGAGGAGGCTCTTTGAAGTGTGGAGATAAGGACCTTTCTAACCCCCGGTCAGGTATGAAAGCCATTTCCAGGCGGCAGAGGAGCGTGTCATTCCACTGGATGCTGTGCCAAGGGAACTCATGGAGCAGGCCAGCTGAGCTGAGCCAGGTGAACACCTGGCAGTGCCTCAGCCAACCCATAAACAGGACCAAAGCCTGAATGTTTGAAGAGGCTTGAAAGGACTGGGAAAACGTAAAAATTAATGTATTGGAGGAGGTGGGAATTATAGGTGGGAATATCTCCCTGTGCTCCAACCAGCCTGAGTCCAGCAAAGCACCCACTGCAGGGAGTTGGAATAAGGAGTGTACTCCTACAAGGATTATCTCAGCCTTGTGTCTGGGGCAGGTGGGAATGCTCCCAGGGAGCTTCTGGGTGGGAAAAGGGTGAGGAGAGACAGAAAGTGGCCTCACACCTCTGTGTTCTGGCCAAGAGCTGAGCCACTGCAGGGCCAGGAGGGAGGAAGCAATTCACTGCTGCTGGAGGCCAGGAATAGCTTGTCACTGGTGGGGAATAGCTGTGGGAGAGGCACAGCACTGCTTTCCCGGCTGTCCCAGGGCTCACCATCCAGCACAAACACTTACATGTTTGTTCCTTCCCTTCTCAGATTCCTCAGAGGGGTTGGCACTGGCAGCTGGATTATCGTGGTGCCTTGAGAAAGAACTTCTGCACAGCATTTTTCATGTAGGCAAAAGCTGTTAGTGCTGAAAACCTTCCCAAAAAAGGATTCCCCTGAGCTGGTAAGAATAATTTCTGGTCACATTTATAGAGGTTTAAATGGCATCTAGACAAGATAAATATCCTTAATGTTTTGTCATCTTCTTGCTGGTGAACTAAAGATACATTTGCTTTCCTGTAATGACTTTCTAAGAGAAAACAGCTAAACTAGACAGAATAAAAGTACAATTTCACCACAGATGCTGTTGATACATATGTTTCCTCTGTAATAAGCTCAGTCCTTGGCTGACAATAAAATAAGAATTGTCCTTAGCCAACATCTTGAAAGCTGAAGGTGAAAACAGAGTGGTAGGAATCACATGGCTTTATCATCCATGTCCAAGCACTGAATTCCCTCACGGCAACAAATTTGGTTTAAAAAAATCTTGTCGTAATTATCACAGCTCACATAGATACTCTCTAGGAACTGTTGTATGTGGAATGTTGTATGTGGAAACACTTTGATAGTCTGGTTGCTATTGAAAAATGCCATTTCCTGTTGGAAATGGTTGAGGAAATCGCAATGATTTAATTATTTTCTTTTTTTTTTGTTTTCAGAGGAGTATTAGAGAGAAGGCCCTGACTGGGTTAAAGCCATAGGTTTTATTTAGGTGTTCTTTTTCTTTTCCAATGATTTGTTGCTTCTTTTTCTAGTCACACTGTGTATAACACATTTCCAGTGTATTTCAGTGGGTCCAGAATGAAATCGTGGAGGGAATATTGAGATTTTGGGCGTCCTTTTCCAAAGCAAAACATGAGTAATTAATCAAAGTAAGAAATCGTGTTTCAAATGGAACATCCATTCTTTCCCTCATCCCACCAGTGCTGTTACACTCAGAGGCCGACCCGTGCAAATATTTTAGTAGTAGGACTGCAGAAGGAGCTCCCTGTTTGCTTCTTCTTTCCTCCTGACTGTTCAGGTTTTCTCTGTCATCCTTCTTAAAGCAACAACTTCCCGAATACCAGAGTGGAGAGGAGTGTGTTGTCAACCTTCCCCTCAGCAGCGTGATGTAACGGGCCCACTGGTCTGATTCACAGGGAAATTACTGTGTCCCTGTATCCTTTTAATTGTAGGGTTCAAAACCAAAGCATGGAGACACACATAAATTATTACATTGTCATTTAATCTGGAGTCAGTCCAGTGTGAACCCTGAGCGCCTGGAGCTGGTCCAGCCGAGTGGCAGGAACAGGGCTGAGAGTCCTGGTAAACACCACATGATTTCTGGTATTTGCAGGGCATCTGCTCTGCCTGCCCTTGCAGTACCTTTGGCTGCTCTGGAGAAGCTCCTGGGTGACTGGTGATTTTATTAGGGCCTGGCCCATGGGAGGGTGAGCCATTCAGCTTGTCAGCCCGCTCCCAGAAGAAAAGCTGCAGCGGGAAAAAAAAAACCCTTGCTCTGGGCTTTGAAACCTGAACTGCAGCCAGTTCCAGCTGAGGGATGTGATGGTCGCCTTCGCTGTGAAGTTGCCATCTGAACAATGACAGTGTTGTGTGGCTTGAAAAGACCAGTGGAAGGGATAAGTGTCTGTGGTGGCTGTGATGGGCCAGGTCTGTGTCAGAGAGCAGCCCAGACCCCTGGCCTTGCCTCAGACCGTGCACCTCAACATCCACAGTTAGACCTGTTTCAGGGGGACACATATGCATCCCAAATTTTCTCCTTTTCTAGCCCCCTTTGGCTGGGCCATCTGGCCTTGCTTCTGCTCCTTTGAAAGCTTCGCCTCATTAAACAGCCCTGGGAGCTCAAGAAGGAAAGTCACGGGAGGAGAACAGGAAGGGGGATTGCTAAGAGATGTGCTATTCCTTAATAAAATAATAGCCTGAGAGGAGATCACAGCTTGTAACAACCAGTGAGATCCTGCTGCTAAGATTCCCTGCAAAGCTGCTCCTCTCAGGGCCAAGCTTCCCATCCCCAAAGCCAGCTGTGCTGTGCATGTGCTGCACAGCTCCCCCAAAGTCATGGCATGGAGGGTGAGAGTTATAATGTATTCATCCAAATCACATCCAAATCTCATCTTTTGTTTTCAATTTGTTGGGACAAACAGCTCCTCTCTTTACTATTTATAATTTGGCCCTCCTCTAAGGCTCCAGCTGAAGTCATTGCACTGGGTCTGAGCTAGTTCAGCCTGTGAGATGCTTGAATTAACAACACAGTGGATGGGCAGAGGGGGAGAAGGAGGTTGGTACCTGCTGTGTCCCTTTTGCGGGTGGGGAGCTGAGGCCTGGAAATGGAATAACTTGCCCTGAGTCTAAAAAAGAGGTGGTGGCAGAATAAGACAACAACTCAGCTCTTCTCCACTCAAGACAGAAACACCTTTTTTGATCAGTGTTTTCCACGACAGGTGAAATGCCTGACCTGAAGGTTGGCTGAGAAATGGTTGCTTTAAAGATCAGTAATATTTATGAACAAAGTCCTGCTGACCTTGGGTTTGCTCCTGCACGGTCGTGTTGGAGGTGAGGATTGCTGTCTTCCCACCCAGGAATTCCAGTGCACCTCAGACATCTCAAATTTACTGTTTGTGAGGTTTTTGCTTGGACTGTTCATGCAGGTCCAACCAGAGATACTGCTCCAACAACCTGGAGAGAGTGTCTGAAGCATTGAAATCCCATGAGGACAAAGCTGTGGGTCCCTTCAGAGCTGGGTGAAACCAAAACTACCAACAAGGCCTTGTTGACATTTTCCTATGGACAGGATTTTGGATGAAGTGAACCAACACCCTTGGCTTGGGGTGATGGCTCAGTGTAACCCATGGGTGACTAGAAAGTATAAATAGTGCAAAAATAGTAGTTCTTATTTTTTAAAAGAGTAAGAAAGTATTCAAATGTTCATTCAGGAAATGTGTAACCCCAAACACCAAGACACCAGCTTCTCTTCTTCACTCAGCTCTCAGTTTATTGTATGGATGTGGCATAAACTTCTTTACAAATCTGTTATATGCTACAGGTATTTTCATCTGTCCAACACTGTGATGTAGTAAGAAGCAACACAAATGCTATTTGGTATTTACCAGTAAAGAGTGGGGTGAAAAAGCTTGTGTTACAAGAAGAAACATCCCTGTAGAGGCTACACCTCATTCCAAGAGGCTGTCCATACCCATTTCCCAAGGGTTAGGACTGTGCTATTGCAATTCTTCATGAGATCTTTCTTACACAAGCTGCAAACCTTGCAGCATCTTTCATTCCCTTTGTGCAGACTAGGAGCAGATGTTGGGAGAGGATCCAGGCCTGTGTGTTGCACTTGGGAGAGGCCACATGTATAAATCCCACTTCTTTCTGCAGCTGTAACATACAGTGTGTGCACCTTATTATCAGAGAGACATTCAGAGTGCAGGGCAGAGCATAACCAGGAGAATGAAGGGTCTGGGGAGATTTCTCACCGTTCAGAAAAGCTGGAAGAATTTTGTTTGGAAAGCCAGACTTGGGAGGAAAAGGAGTGAAGAAGGAGGAACCACTTTAAGTACAAAAACGTCTGAAGGGAATAGGGAAGTGCAAGGTTTCAAGGCTATATGAGCTGGTGTCACATGCAGGGATAAGAGAGCCTTGATTCAGGCTAGAGATGAGCCAGCAGGCAAGGAATTTGCTCCAGACAGAGTCCTTCCTAGCTCCTGCATGCTACCATAGCTAACAATCATGTCAATAGGGTTTAAAAGGTGCTTCAGAGGAATTGGGAAGCAAAGACAAATAAGGTGGGTGGCTGAGGGAGGAATGGAAAGTCCAGTGGTTACTGAGTGAGGCTTGAGTGTGATGAAAATCCTGGCTGTGCTCCAGTACAAGATTTCCTATCACATTAATTATATTGCAACAGGCTCCAGGGCTTTCTGTGATACAGACTCTGAGTATCAAAAATGCTGCACAGACACCAGTGGTGGAGTAACAAGATAAACTTGCTGTGTTGTCTCCCAGCCTTCCACGAAGATGCCCTCAAAGATGAAGCCTGAAACTCCTTGGTGCTGTTCCCTCTGTGCCCCTGGGCAGAGAGTGAATGATCTACAGGGAACAAGGAATAATTAGCTCTTGGAAATGTCAGGTTTCTCTCAAAAATTAACTCCATCCCCTTTCTTTTTGGTAACATACATGTGCTCTTGGATGACATTTTTGTGACACTTAGAGGTGTTACTTGAAAAGTGTTTCTTTGAAAATACAGATATGTGGTCACCTAAACCGAGGTGATGATACTGGGAATATTGTGGTACTGCCACTGTTTGTTGTGGGCAGGACTCTTGGCAGGTATCTCATGAAATTGTATCTGTTCAAACCAGTAGAACTGAGGGGAGGACTCTCTCTCTTCCCCTCCAACTCTCTCTTTTCCCCCTCTTTTTCCCTCTGTCTGGGTACACTGGATGGCAAATGGAAAGATAGAAAATCAGTGTGGAAGAAGTGTGGTCTGGGAAAGAGAAGTCACAGCAGGTGTAGTGCCACCCTGAACAGCAGTGAAACAACAGCAGAAGCCAGACAATACTGACAAAAAGAGAAGGAAGGAGCAAGGAGCTGCCCCAGCATGGTCCTTCTTTTCTAGTGGAAAAGGAGAGTCTGATCCTTGTGTTTTCCACTCTTGACAGTGCCACAGTTGCTTTCTGTCACCTGGGTATGAGGTAGATGAGGTGGAGTGTCTGTAGGTAATGCCTGAGTCACCTTGGTGGCTTCTGTAGTGGGGGAAGATCTGAGTGTAACAGCCACCCTTCTCTGGGAAAGGCTGTCCTGCAATATATGGAGCCAGGATCACCTTAGACCTGGGATGTGAAGACTGTAAGGCCTGGTTTTCACTCAGACAGTTGGGGTAGGAATGTGATTGGGTTTGAAGTCTCCTTTATCGCTGAAGTGTGGAGATGTAACTTGAGGAGGACAAAAACCCACCGAAGCCCTGTTTGTTATCACCGTTCTCCTTTGTGCTAGAAGTGAAGACTAAAGCTTTGTGCTGGCCAAGGAACTCCTTAAATCAGGAAATAGTCTTAGGAGGCTGATTCCAGATGCTTTTTTTTTCTAACCAAAAGTGTCTAGAAGAGATGAGGTCCATTCTGGAGTACCCACCTGCCCTCCCAGCCTGGTGACACATTGGCTGTGAAGATAAGACTGTCCCCTACTGCTGCCTCCTCTCGAATGGCCAAAGCAGAGTTAAGCCTCCTTGTCCCTCTCTCCTCCCCCCCCCAAAAAAAAGTGCATTATGGGATTCTCTTTCCTGCCTCTCCCTCCTCTGTGCAGAGCTGTGTGTTTGAAATGATATCTATTTCTCTTTGTGACAGCACACCGTGACTGCCGCCTTGACGTTCTGCCGAGCTGACATCCCAACCGGTGTGACACTGATGCCTTTGGGCAGAAATCAGAGCCGGTTTGCTGCATGGCTCTGTGCAGCCACGGTGCCTGTAGCGCCTCGGAGAGCCCCCAGTGCCCTGCTGGGGAAATGGAGCGAGCACGTGGGCCCCAGATGAACCCGGAGCGGAGCGCGGGCGTTATCCGCAGCCGTCCCGCTGCCCGTTCCCGGTTTTAAATGTCCACATTGACATGGGTTTATCTCTTTTTTTTTTTCCCCCCTCTCCCTTTCCTCTCCCTTTTTGCCTTGCCTGCGAGAGGGTTGGTTTCCTGTTTCTCCCCCCGGCTGCAGAGTCCTTGGGGACCTGGGTTTCCGTGAGCTGGAAAAGGAGCGCGCAAGCGTCTGATCAGCCCTTATTAGTGTTGAGAAAGACCTAATGGTTCCTGGCTTCTGGGACCATTACCTGTCATTTACTTTTATTAAGTCGGTGATGAGAAAGTTTAAAATTAAAGGCTTTGTAAATTGGATTCCAGTTCTAAAGGGAGGCACCGACCAGGAATTCAGTGCCAGAGCCTGCAGATGGGCTGCTGGGAACAACACTGGGCTGGGGCGTTTGTGTTCAGCTGCTTTGGCAAAGGTCCTGTGCCAGGGCATGGAGGGGAGGTAGTTTGGGCAAAGCCCTGGGGTATCTATCAGCTATATGAACCATGTAATCCTTCCTTTGCCAGGCTACTCGTGTCCAGACCTCCAGCTCCTGGTCAGGAGGAAGGGTGGTCTTCTGGTCGAGCCATTACCCAGCCTGTGACTTCTGTTCCAGCTGAAATGATCCCAGGCAGGTCATGTCATCTCCTCATGGTTCATCTCTTGGTTTATAAGGAGCAAGAGGTGGTGTTAGTATTGATTTTGTTTCTTACCTGTTGCCTGGTTTGGGCAGTCAGCTCTTTGAGCCAGGTGCTGTCCTTGGCTCTTGTGCTTAGAACAAAGGCTCCAGCTCCTTTGAGTTTCAAGACTGAAAAATAAAGACTTTGGTTAAGCCTGGAGCAGAAAGCAAGTAAAAGAGATGAGCCACCTAGTTAAGAGAAGCATTTTATTCTTAGGGCTTATAACACTGTTGCATTCTCTGCTTTTGGGGCTTTATCTTTGAATTAACCATCCAAACATGTTTCCAAATGAAACACCCAAATTACACTAAAACAATCAGCTAATTATGGTGTGACAAGGGAAGCTCAGGGGCCAATCCCAACAAAGAGCTGCTGTCACTTCTGCTCTCTCAGCTGAATAAAAGTCTCATGGTGACATTGCTCTGATGAGAAGCAGCATGAATGAGTGGTTATAAGTACAGTCTGGGAATCAGAATTCTTGGTTATTGTGTCTCAGTTTGTCTTTGACTGGAGTGACATGGGAGAAGTCACCTGAGGTGAGGATTTTAAGGTTGCCTCCTGCCCATCCTTGCATTGTTAAATACACAAATTTTGCCTGCACAGCTTTACGTGAAGATTTGAGGTTCCCACTGTGTCTCTGAGAGGCAGAATACAGTGCAATACAGTGCTCCACCAAAGCACAGGGCTTAGCCAGTTAGTAATAGATTGCAAAATTTAGTGTTTGTCTCCTGAAGGCAGAATGTACAAGGATGAAACAGATTCCTTTTAAACTAATGATTTCTTGGGAAAGTTTACCTCAGGTTCTCCCTGAGTAGCTTGGCAGGTTTTGGTGTGTTTTGCCATTTTTATCTATACTACTATTATTATTATTATTATTATTATTGTTATTGTTGTTGTTGTATTATATCATATTATATTTATTTACATGAGAGGTAAGATTTGTGAAGATTTGGAAGGGATGCCCCCTGCCCATCCTCTCTGACACCCCCACAGCCAAGCTCCAGGTGTGAGTCCCCACTTTAAGGAGGTTCCCCTCCTTTTAAAGAACCAGGACAGAGAACAAGGTCTCACACCCTCCAAACCCACAGGCCTTTCACCTTCTTTCCCCAGAGAGATTCCAAACCACACAGGCAGGAGGTGGGATAATATGCCCAGAGGGAACTGTGACACCGAGGGATGGATAAGGAGGGGCCCAGAATTCCTGCAAAGTGAGGCTGAGCACATGTTAACTCCAGGCCATCCTTCCTGTCCCTCCCTAGGCATAGCAGCTCCTGGACTTCAGCTAATTGCACCATTGCCTTGAAGGAGGAGTGATGCCTCTCCCAAGTTTCCCTGGGAGGAGCTGATCTGTGAGCTGTTCCGTGGTCACTGACATCATTCCCGCGTTCCCAGCCCTGCCACCCGACCGCAAGGCTCTCACAAGGTAATCCGGGGAGATTTTATCAAACGTGAAACCTTCCTAGACATTACTGGAGCCATGATGTAATGAACCAAGGTTTTGTTCTCTGAATTCCGCCGAAAAACCACGGGCCCCAAAAAAAACTGTTGCGGGGGGGAGCTGATGAGTTTTGAGCGGGAGGCTGAGATCTTGTGCTGGGCTGAGCCCTCCTCGCTGCAGGAGAAAGGGTTTCCAGCTCAGTCCTGTGTCGCTGGCTTGGTGAAGTCTGGGCTGAATTTCTGAGGTGGGCAGTAACCTTTTCACAGCACCCACTCCCTGGTTCCTGCTGCTGTGCTGGGAGGTGTTGCCAAAGGAAAAGGTACCGGGCTGTGTCGTACCTCCCTGCTCCAGGTTTGTTGCACGTTCAGAGTTCTGGCATTTGTTGTAATTGTGGCTGTTCCCACTTCTGTGAAGACAATTCCAGCCCAAAATCTTGCTCAAAAAGACCAAAACCCCTTACATGAGGTGACATGAGGTTCCCTCATGTAACACTGCTTTCTTAGGGTCATCCCTGCTGGAACTGAGATCTCAGTGCTTTGAAAGACCTTTAAACCCCTTTTTTTTAGAGGGACAATGATTCCTGAGTCACGTGAAGCCTTCCTGGCATATTTATATCTGCCAGACCAGGATGAGGCTGTCCATGCTTTGATGCTTTGGATTTCAGTACCTGTTGAAATCCCCTGAACAAATGGTGCTATTAATTACGGGGCCTGGCTTTGATGAATGATGCCTAGGGGACAACATTTCATTTTGTCTGGGGGGAGTAGGCGGGATGGGGCGTTTTGGAGTGTTCAGTGATGCAGGAGAGGTCCTGGGTGTTGCCTGATCAAGGGGAAGTTGCTTCCTCTCTCCAGAGTGCTGTAAAGTCAGTGTCAAGTCACTGTGGCATCTGGGTTGTGTCACCTGCTGATGGGGCTCCCCCTTTATACATCAGACTTGCTCAGACAAAAACCCATTCAGCCCTTTGCCTAAGAAGCTTTTAGAATTGCTCTAGAGGTTACAAATAATTTTGTTATAAATGGCTCCTGCCTGCCTGAGGCACTGCCCCATTCCCCAAGGCATTTTAACAGAGCAGTGAGTTTGGGGTTCACGTTAGACACATGAGATGGGGGGAGGCCATGAGGTGTTCTCAGGGATCCTACCACCTTTCCTTTCCCCACATCCTTTTGAAACTCTCAAAACCAAAATTTTTGACAAAGTTATAAGAAAGCCTTGTTCCTGCAGTGGTGAAAGAAAGCTTTTTCCACAGCTTCGATTTAGTTTCTTATTTATGTGGGTCATTATGTTTTGGTGCCTTGTTTTTCACAGGGTGTGCAGTGGCCCATCCTTCCTTCTGTCAGTGCTTCCCAGATTCCAAAAGCACAGAGAAGGGGATAAACTCCAGCAATGTGTTTTCCAAATAGACTATGAAAAAAAAAGGAAAGAATTAAAGACAAGTGTGAAGCCTCCTCCAGCTCCTCCTGTCGCTTGGGCAGTGCTCGTGCCACGTGTCAGGACAAACAGAGGAGACATCTGGAACGGGTTCATGTGAGTCCATGGGGTTTGGATCCCCTTGCATGGGAAATCCCTCATGCTCTGCTCATTCCACTGACAGGCAGCCCATTCCTCCACACGACAACACAGAGACAGGCCCTTTGCACAGCTTAATGGAGGAGGATGTTGTGATTGTGATCCAAAACTGTTCTCACAGCAGCATCATCTGATGTTTAGCCCTCCAGATGGGGAAGGCTCTTACATCCAGCACAGAAAACACTCTTTCTGTTAATTCAAGGCAAAATCTGTTCCCATCCCCTGTGGTGGTTTTACATGTGTGGAATTCCAATGATCCAGTTTCTGCCTCACCACCACTGGAGTCTCCCCAGCTGAGGGAAGACTCTCTTTCACACCTTTCAGCTGGCTGAGGTGGGCACACACCTGAAATCCAGCCTGAGCAAGGGATTTCAACACATCCTTGCCTGAAACTGGGCCTAAGAGTGGGTGAAACCTGGCACTGAGGGGGCACATGAAGTGAATGCCCTGTGAAAAACACATAAAAATTAGGTAGGGTCTGAACTTGGAGCCAGTGTTTGCTACACTTTTATGTGGTTATAGGGCAGCTGTCTGACCTCCTCACCTAATTTGCAAATAATCTTGTCAGGACAAATTAGTCCATGCTGAGCCTGTGCTGTTGAGCCTAGATCGTTATCAGGACCCGTACAAGTGAATTTTAAGGTAGTTCTGGTGTCTCTGCGTGCAATGGAGTCACAGTGGCAGTGACTGCAAGTGCAGAGATAGGCTTTTGTATTAAACAAAATATACACAAAACCCTCTCCTACAGAAACCTGGAATTAATGGGTTTCCTAGCTGGTTTCTATCAGGCCATTTTCGGTACCAAAGGGTGAGTGTTGAAAACAGAGATTTAAACTGCATTTGAAAGTGCAGCTCTGAACACTGTGAATTGCTTAATTCATCTTAATAGAGGTGTTCACTCTGAACCCGAAAAGCTTTTAGTTGAGATTTAGCCTGTGGTTTGATATTACAAATTGCTTGGTGGTAACATTGGTTTAAGACACTTGTTGTCTCCTGGCCTCTTGTTCCTGCTGCTCTGCTGGCACAGCTACTCCTGTGGTTGGGAACCGAATGGGAGGAGCCATCCGGCTTGGAAAGGGGAAAAAAAAGAGGTTTCAGATGTTTGATTTTTTGTTTGTTTGTTTGTTTGTTTGTTTAAAGCAGGAAAGTTCCTCAGTCTGGTTCAGCTCCTGGTCACATGGAGTTTTCCTGGCACAAACGAGTGGAAAGAGCACTTTGGCATGGAGGGGAAATGAGCAGCAGAGGGTGAAAGGTGAGCAGCAATTACTGGTTCTGGGAATGCCCCGGTGTACTTTAATATCAGCCCATGATCTGGAACTGATCTCACCACGTGAAAAATGCTCAAATACCTTTAAAACCCTTGGGTTTAAGCTTTGCTTTTAGGTGTCTTGGCAGACACTTCCCATTTGTGTCCTTATCTCCCAGTCTCCAGCCTCTTTCAAAGGTTTTCCAGCTACTGTTTTGTGCAAGTTCAAACCCCTGCAGCCCACTGGGACTGCAAATGTGTGAATGAGCACAGTGATTGGAGTTGAATGACAGTGTGAGTATCAGTTGTCACTGCAAGGAATGTTTCCTTCATTTCCAGAACCAGTTCCTTGAGAAAGAGCCCCTTTTAATACAAATGAAAGCAGGGTTTCCACGGTGACTTTCTCAAATTTAGAAGATCTTGTCATTTAAATCCAGTTTGCCATGGGACATAAAGTTCATTTGTTATAGACCACATCAAACCAGCTGAGTCCAGAGGTACCGTGAAGAGTGTGGTGATGTGCCCGGAAAACCAAAAAAAATCTATAAAAAACAGACTTTCAAGGCACTAAAAGTGGGAAATTTATCTCATTGCAAGTTTGCCACCCTGCTCCCAGAAATGGAATTGTCTGATAATTAAATTCCCTGCAAACATGGAAAAAAACCCCAAGCCAACCCAGAACAGTGGAATAC